TAACAGACCAGGAAACCGATACTCTGGAAGGGAAATGGCTGCCCTGGGGCTTCACCACAGAGCCAGGGCCCCTGCCCAGATGCCTGTCTTCGGCTGCATTCGTTTTATATGAGCCCACACTGTACCCTTGGCATTTCCTGTACTCCTGGGGGTGGGGCCTGGCCCAGAGCCAACGTCTTCACCAGCAGCACCAGCCACCTTCGAGGCTCCCTGGGGCCAGGCAGGGATTCAGTAGTTGTTGGTGAAGCATCGCAGCTAGCCAAGCACCTGCAGGGATCACGTTCTGTGAATGTGGCTCCCTCTGAGGCCACACTGGCTCACCTTTTCACAGACTCAGGCGTCTGTAGACCTTCCTTCTTCTGGACCTCTTGCCTCACATCTCAGCAACCTTATAAATCACCCAAATTCTACCTTTAGTATAACTTGGATGAGCTGACATGAGTGGCAGTTGACTTAGTCAACCCAAAATTATCCAAATATTTATTTAATTCTATAGTTATAAGCCTCAATGTTTCTAATTTTATATGTTGGGGCCAATCCATTTATCTTCAGGTTCTCAAATATTTTCCGTAGCCCATTAGCATGTTTGCTGGTCTTGGGTGTTATCTTAATGTCTACTGGCCCATAAATGACCAAATGGAAATAAAGGGAGGAACTTACCTCCCTGTGGATAGGAGAGAGGGCTTGGAGGACATGGTGAGTGTTGCTTTTGTGGGCCACATTACTGTCTAGTTTTTTTTTTAAATAAAAACTTAATTGAGATATAATTCATATACTGTATGACTCTCCCATTTAAAGGATGGAATTCAATGTTTTTCAGCGTATTCCCTAAACATGTTTAGTATTCAGGCCGTAGTTGTGTGACCACTACCACAATCAATTTTAGAATGTTTTCTTCATCCCCCAAAAGGAACCAATATCCTTTATCAGTCATTCTCCATTGGCCCCAACACGCCCCTCTCAATTCTAGACAACCACCACTCACCTACTTTCCATGTTTATAGGTTTGCCTATTTTGGACACTTCATACAAATGGAATTATACAATATGTGGTCTTGGTCTGACTTCTTTCACTTAACATGTAGTTTTCAAGGTTCTCCCATATTGTGGCAATTATCAGTACTTTATTCCTTTGGTTGCCAAATACTATTGATTGATATGGCTATTTCACACTTTTCTATCTACTCACATTTTGATGGATATTTGGGTTGTCCTGGGGAAGGCAATCCAAAGACCGTGTCCACCTGTTGACCTGGGAGCCTGACTGGCCATTGGAGCCTCCTTGCCACTGCCCCCCAGAAACGTGCTTTTTACTTGTCCTCCACCCTCCTTGCCCCCCTGATCTGAGGAGCTGCCCAAATATATATCCCAGAGATAAAATGCATTGCTAAGACTACCTGGGTGGTGCGTGTGATTAAACCCACTTAAAGCCTCTATCTAAACTTTTAATCTTGGGGGGCAGTTGTGGAAAACTACTTGTCTTGCAGTCATGCAAGACAGAGGTGCTTAAATGAGCTTCCCTGGCTATCAGAGCTGTCACCTACCTGTATGTCACCTACCTTCTTCTGTCCCTTGCCCTGAGGACCAGGGCCAGTTTCAGATCAACATCTTTTGGTTTATTATGAATGACACTAGCATGAGTCTTGGTGCACAAGTGTGTATGGGTGTGTTTTTATTTCTCTTGGGTATATTGTATGCTGGATCATACAATATCTCCATGTTTAATATTTTGAGGAGCTGCCAGATGTGTTTTCAAAGCAGCTGCACCATTTTATATCCCCACCAGGTTTTCAGTTTCTCTACATCTTTGCAGCACATCTTATCACCTGTCTTTTACTTGCAGCCATTCTAGTGAGTTTGAAATTGTGTTTTACATGGTTTGGATGTGCGTTTATTTTCTTATTGGCTTATATTTAGTGTCTTATGTGTTTATTCATCATTTGCATATCTTCCTTGGAGAAATGTCTATTCAGATCCCTTGTTCGTTGTTTAATTGTTATTTGCTTTTTAATCATCAACTTGTAAGAATTCCTTATGCATTTTAGATAGAACTCCCGAATCAAATAAGGATTTGCAAACATTTCCTCCTATTCCATGATTATTGTATTCATTTGCTAAGGCTGCCATAATAAAATACCACAAACTGGGTAACTTCAACAACAGAAACTATTTCTCATGATTCTGGAGGCTCGAAGTCCATGATCAAGGGCTTACTGGGTTTGGTTTCTCTGGCGTCCTCTCTCCTTGGACTGTAGTGAATGTCTTCTCCGTGGGTCTCCACGTGGTCTGTCATTTGAGGGAGCACCCTTGGTGTCTTTTCCTCTTCTTACAAGGACACTAGACATATTGGATTAGAACCCACCCTAAGGACCTCAGTTTAACTTAATTGCCTCTTTAAACACCTTCTTTCCAAATACAGTTCATTCTGAGGTATTGGGGTTGGGACTTCAACATTGTGACTTTCAGGGGCACACAATTAAGTCTTCTTTCTTTCTTTCTTTCTTTCTTTCTTTCTTTCTTTCTTTCTTTCTTTCTTTCTTTCTTTCTTTCTTTCTTTCTTTCTTTCTTTCTTTCTTTCTTTCCTTCTTTCTATCAATTTTTTAATTTTTTTACATCTTTGTTCATTTTTAAACAATATTTGCTTCCCCCCACCCCCTCAGGTGTAGTCCCATAGAGTTTCCTTCCCCAATGCACCTGTGCACCATCACCTCAGTCCCCTGTGTGCCTCCCTCCCTCCCTCTGATCCCTCTCCCTCCTCCTCCCCTGCAGGATGTCTCTGATTTATAATTGTCTGGTTTTGCTTTGTTGTGTTTTGTACTGTTATTATTTTTTTACGCTGGTGTCTTATTTGGTTCCCCCTAATGCCCAAAAATAGATGAATGGATCAAGACTATGTGGTATATATACACAATGGAATATTATTAAGCAATCAAAAAAGATAAATTCATGCCATGCGCAGCAATATGGATGGAACTAGAAGGAATTATGCTCAGTGAACTAAGCCAGAAGGAAAAAGAAAAATATCGGATGGTTTCACTTGTAACAGGAATATAGGAGAACCAAATAAGACATCAGTCTTTTTTTATTTATTTATGCATATAAAAACTGGGTGTAGGCCAGAGGTGCAGGAGAGTGAGAGGATTTCACCAGAGACAAAGAGGGGAACAGAAGAGGTAGATTGATTGAAATGCACTGCTGAGGAGAGCAGCAGGGTAAGGCCAGAGAGGTCTGCTGCAGCCATGTGGGTCAGCTCCCCCGCCAGGACTTGTGCTGCAGTGGCTGTAGATTGCTTCACAGTTTTGAGACTTAACCCCTTAATGCTACCAGGGAGGGCTCTTTTCACTTCTTGATGGTGCTCTTTGAGGCACAAAAGATTTAAATTTTCATGAAGTTCACCTTATCTATTTTTTCCCCTCATTGCTTTCACTTTAGATGCTATATCTAAGAAACTCTTACTCCAAGGTAACAGTGTATGCCTATGTCTTCTGAGACCTTTACAATTTTAGCTCTTAGATTTAGTCTGATCCCTGTTGAGGTGATTTTTGGATGTGGCATGAGGTGGAAGTCCAACTTCATTCTGCTTGTGGAAGTCCAGTTATCCCAACAGCACATGTTGTTAAAAAGACTCTTCTTTCTCCATTTAATTACCTTTCCACTATCATTGAAAATCAGCTGGTCATAAATGTAAGGGTTTCTATCTGGACTGTCAGTTTTACTCCATTGATCTAGGTCTCTCCTTATAGACACACAACACTGTCTGGATTACTGTGGCCTTGTAATAAGCTTTGAAATCAGGAAGTATGGCAAGGTATACCATTTTCTGAGTGTACCTTAACTCTGGGTATCAAACACTGTGAGATATGAGTAAACAGCACAACCTGCGGGTTTGGACCCACGCTCCCTGTTATGGGAACACACACTCCCGAGTGCTAGCCATGCCTTGGAGACATGTATTCCCGCCCTCTCAGCCCACAGCTCTTCATGACAAATCAATGGAAGCATTCTACAGAGAACAATGATCCCCTTGGGTTATTTTAGACATCTCTTTAAGTCTTCCCCACCTGCTCTGCTCTCTAATTGCTCTTTCTGAAACAGTGTCATTCACAGCTGGATTATTAATGAACTCAGAGGAGCCAGAAGGCAAGTGGGGCTGGGACTTGGGGGGCCTGGGGGGCTGGAACTAGCCCAACTGGGAGGTTTTCATTTTCCTGAGAGATGTTCCTGAGTTTCCTTAGCAAACAGGAAATCACTAACTCAGCATATGCTGTCAGCCCGAGAACACTGCTGGCTAGTACAGACCCAGAGCTCTTCAAACAAGACTGCTGGGAATTAAATTGACTGGGTAGCGCCCCAAACCCCCAGACCTAAACCTTGTCAACCCCTCCCCCCTGCCTAGGGCTGTAATCTGGAGGCTGAGAAAGCTCAGGAAACAAGGCCCTTTGTGGAGAAGAGAACTCTATTGTGTTAAAGCCAATGTTCAGCCAGTGTGGATTTCAGAGAATGTTTTGGGGTGGATTTTCCCCCTTTGTTAACTTTCTCTCCTGGGTGGTGGTGGTGGGGCGGGTAGGGTCCTCTCAACAATAACTTGAAGATGCTTAAATGCATTGTTGTGTAAAGAAAAGATGGAGCTGGGGAACCAGAGAGCCAGGCCTCCAGATTTGGGGGTGGGGTGGGGGACGACTTGCCTTCGCTGATAGACGCCATTGGGTGTGTTTGGCTTTTATTTTTAGCACTAATCTCAGGGAAGCAGCCCCTTTCTAGATCTTGCACTTCTCAGGCAGTGACACAAGTCAGCGAAGGTAGACCACTTCCTTCCTTCTTCGCTTCTACTCCTTTCTTCCCAGAGAGAGGAAATGATGTGAATCCACATCGAAGGCCACAGCCCTCGCTGACTGCTGCCTTCTCCCCAGCAGGGAGGCGTCTGTCCCCACAGACCTGTCCCCAGGTCAAGGCCTGGCCGGCTCCTGCGCATCTTAGGAAAGCTTTGGGTCGAGTTGCACGGGCTCTCAAGGTAGGGGACTCCAACCCCTGGCACAGGTACTAGTTCTGCGTGACCTTCAGAGGGTTACAAGTCCCCTCTGGGCTTTATGAGGCCAGTCCGTTAAATGGGGGTAGCAATACAGTCCTGGGCTTCCCCATTCCGTGGTGGGGTTGGGGCAAAGCTTAAAGAAAACTCTTCCAAAGCCTGGCCGCGTCCCACCCGCCTTCAATTTTCTACAGCTCAGAGGAGGGGCCCCACCCCTAGGCGCTGGGACCCTTCCCGGCGCTCCCTCGCCAGCCGGAGCGGGTCGCGCGCCCGCCCCCTTCCCGGGAGCGCAGGCCCCGCCTCGGGGGAGGAGCCGCGGGGCGGCGCGGAGGCTCCCGCGGAGCAGAGCCCGCTCCTGTGGCCGCACCGGCAGCTGCGGCTCGGGGACCGGCGGACGGAGCAGGGCCGGGAGCCGCCCGGGGCAGGGCTGGGAGAGCGGGTGAGTTCCCCGGCGGCGCCGCCTCTCTCCCGGCGCTCTGCGCTCTGGCAGGGCGGGGATGGAGGAGCTCGGCCGGGTGCTGGTCCCAGCTCCGGTGATCTGGCTGGGGGTATAGGTCGGCTTGGCCAGGGGCCGGCGGTTTCAGATAATGGAGGGGGGCATTGGAAAGGCGGGTACCGGGGGCGCAGGACCGGGCAGTCGGGCTGGGGTCGGGGCGCACTCGCGGGTCCTGCGCGCCCATGACAAGGCCGGGGTAGGGGTGCCTATTGACAGGTTGTCGACTGGGGCCGCCAAGGCCCGATCTGGGCACAGGCAGGGGGCCTTAGACTGGCTGGTTTGGGGCTCTTGGGTCGCCGTCTGCCCGGGGGCGCCGTGCGCGGCCGCGGGAGCTACAACCCGCACCGAACACCCCGGGCGCTCAGCCTCGGGTCGGACCTGGGGGCGCCGCCCCCTCGCGTGGCGGCGCTGATTCCCGGGCTCGCAGCGCTCCTGCCCTGGCGGGAACGGTCCTCAGGGCGAGCGCCCGGGCGCGTGGACCCTTTCGGTACCTTGATCTCTCTGACAGCGCCGGTCGGTGCCCGGGAGACGCCGCGCGGGGTTGCTCCCGGGGTGAGGCGCGCGCGTCCTCGCCGAAGGGCCGCTGCGTGTCTGCAGCTGAGCCCCGGAATCCCGCGCCCCCACTCCCTCCCGAGGAGCGCGCCGGGCGCCCGGGGTGGGCAGGAACCGCAGCCCGCACCCGAGAGGTCGCGCGGAGGGGTCTCTCCAAGGTCAACCGCGGTGCCGGGGCTGAGCCACCCGGAGCGCCTAGAGCGCAGACCCGGGCTGGGGAGGCGCTCGCTGCTCTGCCGGCCTTCTTCCCCGATGCAGACTCCCTCCCTCCGCTCCGCCTCCCCCAGTCCGGACCCGGCTTCTCTGGGGATGCTGATGATGCAGCTGCCAGCCCGGGCTGACGGCGGAGCCTGGGGGAGCTTTGACTGGGGCGCTCCCAGGAGGGCCCGCGCGCAAAACGTGGGACGCGGTGCTGCCTGGCCCCTCGCGAGCGGAGGGAGAGAGATGCGGCTGCTGGAGTGCTCCTCGGCGCCGAAAGCGAGAGGCTTGCGCGCCCATGTGATTGGATTCCACATAATGGGCCCCTGTTCTCGCTGTTAGAAGCGCCCACCAGCTCCCCGAGGCCCCGGGCACCAGGTGCCGCCGCTGAATCGCCCTCTGTGGACCCGCGACCCGGAGGTACCATGCGCCCTTTTCCGCAAGCCTCCCTCGGGAAGGGGCCTGCCAGCCGCCAGCCGCCTCGGCCCGCGGGGGTACTCCCCGTGCGCCCTGCCATTTCCTGCGGCTGGTGAAGTGCCGAAGAAAACCCTCCTTCTGGGTGCCCCCGCCCCACCCCACCCCCGCCTTCCTCTAGGTTGGTAATAAAGCTTCTTAGCTCTGTCAGTGACTGCTGCCCGCCCGAGGGCAAGGCACTTGGCCTCTCTGGGCCTCCACTGCCTCTAGGAAATGAGGTTTCTAATCTGGCTGTGGGGAGATGTGAGGGGACCCCTGGAAGCGGCTTGGTGCAGTGGAGCTGGGCGGGAGGGCTGCTTCCAGGGAAGCGCGGGCGCCTTTAACGCAGGGTTCCAGCGGGGCGTGTCTCTCTTAGACTCGAGCAGAAGTGGAACCCTGGTGGGTGGTTCTGCAGGGCCTGGGGGAGTTTCCACATCTTCCTCCCTCAGCTCTGTCCTAAAGAGCCAGCTTGCAGGCGGCTGGTGGGCGCCGGTGAATCCTTTCAGCCGGCTGCCGGCTCACAGGGCCTCCCACACAAGTCCCGCAGCCCCTCTTCTCCCACCTGCCACCCAAATCCCAACTTCTCACCCCAAGTCCCTAGGATTTTGGGGACCAGCTGTCAACCAGGCTGCCCTGGACCTTCAAACTTTGCACGTTCCTGGCTCTTGGAGCAGACCCAACAGTGTCCTCCGTCCTGGGATCTGCCTGATCCCTCTCCTGGTCCAGCTCTTCCCAGCCTCTGAAATGTTTCTTTCTACCCCGCTGTGCTTCTCTGCACTGTGACATTCATCTGTATGCTCGGGGCTCCTTCATCCTGGTGCTCTCTGGATCTTCCCTGGCCTGGAAGGACATGGGAGGGCAGGCCCAATGGATGCTCAGACTTCATTCTCTCTGGAAATTGCTGCTGGAGTGGAGGTTCCATTCTATTCTAGCTGTGAAGTCTGTTCAGGAGCTGAGCCTCAGCGCTAAGAGGATGCTGATGCAGGAAGATGGGTTTTTCCCAAAGGCAGCCTTTCTGTTGAACCACTTGAACCCTTTGGAAATGAAGTCTCCAGGTTCTTCCCCCAAACCAGTTCCATGCGCAGAGTGAACTTTCTCTGACCATAGGGAGTTGCGGCTAGCCTGGTTCCGCAGATCACAGAAGGCTCACACCTGGATTTCTATGCCTTGCTTGGACGCTCAGGGAGCTCACCTGACCCAGGCCACCCCGAGCCCCCTAAGCTTGCCTCCCATCCCCCAATCTAACTGTTCCACTTTCACCCCTGCCTGTACCAGGACTTGAAGCACTTGGTATATAGTGGGTCCCACATGGCATTTCTCCAGCAGAAACCAGGACAAGCTTCTTTATCCCAAGAACACCTTAGAGAATGGCTTCAGGAGACGCTTAGAGAAAGTGACAAAGTATAAAAAGTCAGAACGTTAGACTGGTTTAGTTGGTCTAACTAAATGATAGGTCTAGACTGGAAAGCTCTGCAGCCCTGTGTAAAATATTCACTCTCTCTCTCTCTCTGAGTCCTGTTTTTCTCTTCTGTAAAATGGAGCAAAAGTAGCGCCTACCTCAGAGGGCAGTGAGGATTCTGAGACCATGTTTCGTAGGAAGCGCTTCGTGCAGCCCTTGGCTCAGGCAGGGGTGCAGGAAATGAGACTTGTCGTTACCACCATTTCCTCCTTTGTACTGGCTCTCAAAGGTCCCACCACCCCCAGTTCCGGGGGCCTGTAACTATCAAGACAGGGAAAGTCCCTCAGCTGGGGGCCCTGGCTCCTGGGAGTTTGAGTCCAGTATGGCCCTGTCACCAAGATGTCTGCGACTTAGCCTTTCTCAGCTGGCTGCCATTCCTCTGGAGTCATTCAACAGACCTTTGCTCTAGTCCAGATCTTGTGCTTAGCAAGGGATTTCCAGATGTATTTCTTGCTCTCCGGGAGAGGGAGGCCTGGAATCAGACATCGAGGACACGCTGGGTTAACAGCTTCCCTGGCAAGAAGAAGGAGTGAAGAGGGCGGTGGGTGAACAGGTGGGCTCAGGTCCACCAACCCAGGATCATTCCTGACTCTGCCATCTCATCACTGGTGGTGATAGACTGGTGGTGATGCCCTACCTCCCAAGCAGATAAGCTCCCTACTTTGGGTGTCAGGGTGAGAAAAAAGGAGAACACATAGGTAAACAAACAAACAAACAAACAAACAAACAACACAGCTCAGTGTTTCTAGATATGTCCGTGCTGGCAAATGTTTATTGCTGTTATTATTAATTATCATGACCCATAACTGGTGGGCAAAACTTGCTGCGGGAGAACATTTGAGCCCTTCAGAGACCACTTTCCAGGTGGTAGTTAAGGGAGGGGTGGGCAGCCCCAGCAGAGAGAACAGCTTGTGCAAAGGCACAGAGGCTTCAAAATGCTTGGTGCCTTTGTGGGTGGTGGGCAGGAGCTGCAGCGGGAGCACCCCCCACTCCAAACCAGGGCGAGATGGAGGCAGGGGCTGTGGGCAAAGCCAGGGAGGGAGGCAGAGACCATTCTGCCACCTTCTTTTGTTTGTAGCACCCAGAAAGTCCTGGATTAACTCCTGTGTGGGAGGATGGGCTGGCCACCCGCGCTTGCCAGTATATCAATACAGTAACTCTTCCTTCCTCTCCTTTCTGCCCTGGAAGCATAGGGGTCCCCTCCTTCTTTCTGAGATGCTTTTTCTCCATCTGCACCTGTTGCTCTCTTCCCGGGATTCAGGTTTCTCATTTGAGGGAAGGGGATGTGGACAGAGGAAGTAGCCGGGTGCAGCCGCCTGTGGGTCCTAATATTGTACCAAGTGCTTTTCTGGATGCTGGTCACTGTCCAGCCACTTTGCTTGCATTACCATTGATTGACCCCTCACACCAATCCCCTGAAGTAGATGCATCTGTCCCTGTTGCACAGAGGGAGAAACTGAGGCACTGAGGGTGAGGCATTTGCTAAAGGGCATGCCTCCTTTAAGTGGCAGGCACTCAGGACTGGGGCACCCCGGAGTTGCTGTGTGCTCCCGTACCAGCTCACTCACTCACTGTGAAGATCTATAGCTGACTGCAGACTGCCTGGTTTCTTTTCCCCTGTGTCCCCTCAGACACTGGCAGTAGGCACCTTGGAGATGGGTCACAGAGGGCTGTACTCTGTTTTTTGGGGTGGTCCGTGTGCAGGCCCTTGGTGGGGGGAGGTGCTCATGGGCATCTCAGATTTCGAGGCTTCACTCCTTAGCTGGCTAGTGTTTCATGTGTGTGCTGGACACTTTGCAGCTTGATTGATGGGGCAGGTGGCTGCTG